GAGCTTGGTTTATAGTTCATGCTTTTCTACATGGTTCTATTTTCTCTACAGACAGCTCTTTGTAGGAAGAGTTTTAAGTGCTATAACTCTTCTCTCCTTTTTGCTCTCCTAAGCATTACCATAGAATCTGCTAGCTTTGGTTATTCACATGGCCCTTAAGGAGGTGGTTGGGAATAGAGGTGTCAGTACTTTAGTCCACACTCCTCCACATATTTTCTTTCTCCTAGTTAATGGAAATAATTAGCTACTTCATAACATCCAAACATTGAACACTGTGTTTAAAGTGAATGGTCAATTTATAGAAATTTGAATGCAGTCTTAAAAGGCAAAAGATTCTTTGGTTTTTCCCAAAGATTTTACTCATTTACTTAGAAAAGAGTTGTTTTTCTTCTTGCTCAGATTTCTAAAAGTAAGAAAAAGGATTGGTCCTGATGTCATAAAAACTATGAATGAAGATCCCAAAGTCCTTCATTATATCTTAGTCTTAATCATTTTCAGTTTTGTAGAGTTTGAGTAGAGCAGGTTATGTTCAAATTACTGAGGGTATTAGAAATGATAGGTTGTTTTCAAGTAACTTTTTAAATATGTGAAGCTTACTCCCTGTTCACTTGCCAGGATTTTTCAGCACCTAGAGTCTTCTGTGTGTGAAGGAGGGATTATAGTAGGAGACTTGGAGAAAATGTAATCATTTAATGAGAGATACTTTTTTTCAGTTCTTCCCCCCTTTTTTTTCCTCAGCTCCACTCCCTCCCATACTTCTGACAAGTGGTAACATGTAAATAGGTTCCATGGTTGGCAGGGGATTCTAAGTATTCCTCAGTTTACCTTTCTTTTTATTTTTTTAAGAAACTGAGAAACTTAAGTAGCCATAATTGTTGTTAAGTGATTGTGCCCTTAATGACCTCATGAATATATTTAATATCTTGGAAATAGTTTTGTTCCTGTGATTGAAAAAAATCACTGATTTGGTGAAAAACGAAATTATTGAAAAAGTTAAGATCAGTTTTGTTTTGGTCTATATTTCTTCAGCTTTCTTAAGTCTGCAGGGTTGAGAGGAAAAAAGAAAAGTGATAACCAAAATAAAAGGATATACTATAATCATAATTTTATCACAAATGGTGTTTCCTTTATTGTTTAATTTTTTAAAAGTGAGATAACTTACTGATCATAATGTAGAACAGAAGCCTATTCTTGTGACCTGAATTTATTTAGGATACTGAGCATAATTAACTTATAGAGTCAGGTGGTCTTTTCACTCTCCTTGGAAAAGGGGTCAAGAAGGAGTACACCTAGGTTCTGAACTTGATTGGAGTAGAGGAAGCTGTACTGAAATTTCTCAAACTCATACATGCTTTAAAACTCAGGGTGTTTGTTTTTTAATTGATGTTTGTCACAATTCCAGAAAATTGTGTCTGTGTAGTGGTTGACAATCAGTCTGAAGATGAAGTGGTTTTCCAAACATTCCCAACTGTCAGGGTTGTTTTGATAACTTGAAAGCAAACTATTTCTGGCACCAATATATTGTCCTCCCTGAAGGAGAAACCTATCTTTTTACTGAAATGAAGAAAGGCTTGTTCTATGACTGGTGCCTTTCTGGCTATCACTTAGTCTTTTTGCACAGGCATCAGCCTTCTCAAGGTTAGTCTTTGTTGTACTAGTATGTTTCATGATTTGTACCATCAAAAATACTCCCTAAAATCTTTGAATAAATTTCTCTTATCTAAAATGCTATTCACCCAAGGCAAAAAGAGAACTGTGTTTGAGTGTTGAAACCTTGTAATTGGGACTCTTAGACCTGTGTAGGTATGAAGGTTCAGAGGTGGGAAGGTACTACAAAAAGCTTGACCAGTAAGTGAGTGTGTTAAGAAAAATAGTTACAAATTATTTTTTTTTGCACAGAGTAGTAGTTCTGTGTGTCAGGCACGGCTCCAAATGAGCTCATTTAATCCTTAATCCGTTGAGAAGAATTCTGTTTTTATCCTGCATTTTACAGATGAGCATACTACAGCACAAAAAGGAAATAACTTTAAAAGTCACACAACTAGTAAGTTGCAGAGTTGGGAATTAACCCAAGTAATTTGGCTCCACAGTCCATGCTCTAATTTTTTGGCAATACTTGTCATTAGAATAGCCTTGGATTTTTTCTAACAAGTTTAGATCTTCTATATTGACATTTGTAACACTGGTAGTTAGAGCATCACCTGAGTTAATAATATACAACTTGAAAGTGCTTCATACAGGTGATGACCTTTAGTCCACTGCTCTTCCTCTTTATCACTATTTCATCATTACTATGTAGTTTTTGTACAGCCGTCGTTTGCAGCCTCCTTTATTTCACCTGGAAAAGAAAATGGCAGCCCACTCCAGTATTATTGCCTGGGAAATCCCATGGACAAGAGCCTGGCAGGCTACAATCTATAGGGTCTCAAAAGAGGACACAATTTAGCAACTGAACAATGACGACCCTATCTTTTTATCCTTCCTCATTTCACATGTACAGCTTGGTTAATTGCTGATCAGTCTGATTTTCACATTCAGTAGTTATTTAGTCCTTTATTCTTTTCTTTTTCCTCCAGATCTTATCTGTATAACATTGGAAAAACTTCTTTTGTATCTGTTTATGTTTCTATATCTATTCTGTGGAAGGGTACTATAAATGACACTTGTGGGAACGAAAGCTAGACTTCAAAGTGAAGTTAGATACATTTGCTTCCCCTACAAAATTTATAGTCACCTTGATCAAGGGAGGAAAACAAGTACTGAAACAACTTTCTGTAAGAGGTATTTCAGATTTTTAAGTAGAATTGTGTGTATTGCTGTGGATTGTTGACTGATTTAATCCTGATGACCATTTAATAACAGAATGCTCTGAAACTATCTTGTGTGGCAAAATTCACTCAGTAGAACCTTGGAGACTTGCATAGCCTAGAGAAAATGTTAGAATCCAAGTCTTTGCTTTTTTTTCCCTCAGTTGCAATTAACTTATAAAGTTTCTACTCTTATAGGAAGCTCTGAGATTAAAACATAAGTTGGTCTTTGTTCTCTACTTATTTGCAGAAAGTTGGTGAAAAGTAGAAGAAAGAATATCGTTCTGTATATAACATTCTAACCTTATTCATTGCTATTATCCACTGGTATCAATTAGATCAATCAAAAATACTGAATTTAGCCAAGAACTTAGAAATAAGAATATGCATACATTATATGTCAGAGTACATTTTACTTTGTTAGAGTCTGAATGTCATTATACAATGTGTGTATGACTCCCATTTAATGCTTTTTCTAGTTGGCTTTTCTCACTGTGAAATGTGTCCTGACAACTACCTTTGAATTATAGGACCTTTCTATTAATCTTAAGGTACCTGATACCAGGAAATGCGGCAACTAATAGTGGTTTCCTAGTCTTTGGCCATCAGTTCATCTGCTGAATCCACATGTTCATTGAATGTCTTTACACAGAATTGTTTTGTACACATCTTCTGTTTTTCAAATATATGTAAATAAGTTGTGCCTACTAAGTCCCTTCAGTCGTGTCCAACTCTTTGCTACCTTTGGTACAATAGCTTGCCAGACTCCTCTGTCCCTGGGATTCTCCAGGCAAGAATACTGGAGTGGGTTGTCATTTCCTTCTCTAGAAATGATGTAGTTGATTTTTTTAAAAAAGAAATTCAAGTGTTTTTGACTCTAAAATAGTGTTTTTTTTCTCATTGTGGGTTTCTTTCAGCAGATTATCTTTAGAAAAGTCCTTTTTTTCTAACCCAAATAAAGGATAACTCACACTGGATTTTTTTTTAAGTGTTTCAAAAGTTGACTGAGCCTGTAGTAAGTAGGGAAAGTGGTTGTGTGACTAGGTAATAGATGTTAGAATATTTCAGTTGAAAGGTAGAATATAGACAGGTTAGATTAAGAATTATATTTAATTCAACTTTTCAAGCATTTAAGGTTTGTGCTTTTTCCTTGTTTTTATGACTTGAAGGGGAAACATTCTTCTGGGAAAAATATCTTGAGTTGTGCATTTTTGTTACCACCCTTTAAAAAAATTCTTAATATTTGATCAAGAAGCAGCCTAAAACAGAGATTGGTACGTTTAACCTGTAGTCTGTTTCTGTAAAGAACATTTTGTTGAAACAATCGTGTCCGTTCGTTTGTATGTTGACTTTTGTATGTATGAGACAAAGACTATGCTTACCAATCCTAAAATATTTTGTCTTTATGATGAGAAAAGAAAGTCGTGTACCTTTTGAAAGTTTCTGAGTTTTTTAATTAAATGATCACTGCATATGTTAACGAAACTCAGAAGGTTTAAATAAGCCATCAGTAAGCGTTTCTTTCCCCCGCGGTGGGAAGCACTGCTGGCAGCGGGACAGATGCCAGCTGCCCCCTTTGCTCAGTTTACTTGTGCTACAGTTGTTCTTCTGATAAAGAATAAACTTCTTGTATTCTCTATCAAAAGTTTAGAAATGAAAGATGACAGCTAGATTTTACTCTTTTGCCTGCCTCTAGATTTGAATTTGTCTAGAATAAAGACACTCTTTTTAATTGATAGACACGTCTTGGCTGTAGTAAGAGTAAATGCACTTGGTGTCTTGGAGCTCTCATGGTTGGCAGCTCTCAGTCTGAGTACTTAGAGTACAATGACCAGCGCTTAGTAAATACTCAGAAAGCATTTGTGGAGGTAAATTTAAGTAGCCATTAATTCATGATCGAAAATTAGGTAAACAATTTCATTGATACCTGGGAATTAAGGGGAAATTTGTGAAATGTGTCCAATCTTTGGTTATTAAGTAGTATAGTTCAGACTTTGTGAAATGTTTCAGAGCATGTAGTATATTGATTTTAAGGGCCTTTTGAAGGTTATTGGTTGGCCATTTTAAACCTTGCCATTTTTTTTGGGTGGAGAGGGAGGTGGGAGGGGGGACCGGGATGGGGAATACATGTAAATCCATGGCTAATTCATTTCAATGTATGACAAAAACTACTGTAATGATGTAATTAGCCTCCAACTAATAAAAATAAATGGAAAAAAAAATAAAATAAACTTTGCCATTTTTTACATTTTCAGTTAATACATTTTGAACTCTTACGTTCCCAGAAAAGCAACACTTAATTTTATTTTGAATTGTACTAGATACTGACCTGTGTAAATTATTAAATTTATATAATGTCTGAATGATTTTTGCTGCCTATTTTAATGTTGAGATATCTTAAATAAAAATTGTTAGGAAGACAATGTACCCTAGATTTCAAAGGAAGGGTGGAAATGAGGGTATATAAGGCAGTGACAATAAGATTGTATAAAGTTGGCTCACTGTGTAATTTTCTAAAAGCAGACTAGTATTGTTTTAATACAGTATCATGAATATGATAAAAAGAAATCAAATCTAATAAAATGGAGACATACATAAATGGGGCTCAAAAAAGGAACTGCAAAAAAAAATCAGGTTAAGAGAGTATGAAGTCTTGGAGAAATAACCAGAGTGAACCTGTACAGCTACTCTGCAAGGAATTCTGGAATGTAGAGTGTCATCTAAATTCATCCTGGCCCTGGCCAGCAACTCCTGTCACCTGGTTTAAACATGGATGGGGACAATTGGGGTCCTGCAGCTGGAGTTAGGACTTTTAGTCTATCAATATATACATTTCTGTCAGATAAATTTTTACAGGCAGAATTGAAAGATTGAGATATTAAGCATTTACAGTGCCAAATATTACATATTCTGTAATACTTCCTTTGCAATGCTGAAATTCAAAAAGCTCTTAAAATCAAGTTTAAAAAAATTTGTTTTTGTAAAATTTGATCTGAAGTAATGAGACTCTATATAGCATTATTTTTCATACTATTCATATTTCCCTCAGTGAAAATAGGATGTTCAGTTATGGAGTTCTGTCCCAGACTGCTTGTAGTACATGATATATGTACCACATTACCTTTGTAAGATTTGAGAAATTCTAAATTCCAGAACATAGCCGGCTTTAAGAGTTTTGATTAAGAGCTTGGAGGTATGTATCAACTTAACACTCCTGTGTAAAAATGCTCATTTCCAACACCCTCACTAACAAAACTGGGCCTTGCTGCATTATTAATATATGAAAATAGCCAGTGATTTTAGGTATTATTAGCCTTAAAGGTTATGCAGTAAACTTAGATTTATAGGGTAACTTTCAGATCTGGAAGAGCAAAGTCATTACCTTAAATGACCCAGTCTCTGGCTTTGCACCTGTTTTAGTTACTTCCTTATACTTTACTTGGCTGGAAATTTGACAGTCTACATCAGGATAGCAGTTTATGTAATAGTATAGCTTGGCCCAAAGTACAATGTGACCTCTTTGAGAGTTGGATGATATTTTTGTGAGAAAAAGTAGTAGTAGTTCCAGATGATGGTCAAATAGTTTTATAATTTTCATGTCAACAGCACTTGACTTCCTGATTGTGGAACTAAGAATCATCTAATTAGGAAACAGGTGATAGTTTTTTAACTATTATTAGTACTCTGTATTATATACTTTTTCCTTATTTGTAATTCATTTGCCATATGTTATAAATACTTATTTCCAAGTAATATTTTAAAATGAAACTTTAATGCAGTTGGAATTTCTTTTGATGAATGGTATTGGGTTTTGTTTTTTCCTCCTGGGGGTATCCAGTTGTTCCAGTGTTATTTGTTGGAATAACCCAGTCTTCTAATTTGAAGACTTCTTTATCATATCTAATACCTTTTTTTTTAACTTGAGTGTATTATATTTACTTATTTTTATTTACTTGGGTTTTATTTACTTGCCTTTATTGTAAAACTGTTAGTATATTTTAATATTTGATAAGTCATGAGGAAAAACTTGCCTCACTTTCGCTCAGATATCTTGGCAATTTTTGGGAATTCTTCCAGATGAATCTTCTAAAAATTGGATTTGAATCTTCTGAAAATTTTAAAATTTACACATTTTGAAAACATTCATATTTGTATAATATGAAGTCTTCATGTAGTAATGCATTTCTCTATTTTATCATACTGTGTGTTTTTGTTTTTCAGTAAAATTATGTTTTTAAAGAACTTTATAAATGTATGCATATTGATGTGTTCTTTACTTTCCGAAATGTGTAAATTTTTTTATAGAAGACAAAAAGATAAAACTACAAATGTAGTAAACTTTTAAAAGTGTTCCTTTTCTCATGTTTTATTTTTATGGTGATGTCTAAAGTTGAACTTCAAAAAAATGTAATTGATATGTAAGTCTGCTTAAACATTGTATTCTAAAAATGTACTGGCCTAGATACTCTGACTTAATTTTTTTTTTTTTTTTTTAGTTACTCCAGAGGATCCACTGAACATAGGATGTTGCCACAAAATCTACCTCGTGTGTTACTCTCTTTTGAGATGAACAGTTGCAAATTTGAGCAAGATGTGTGCAGACTGTGTTGAAAAACTCTGAAGAACCTAATTAACACAGGATGACCTAGTAGTGATTCTAAGCCTATAGCAAGAAACTATTCATTAGTGAGTGTGTCAGTCTTGGTTCTGAATGCTGCAGATAACAGCGAGCAGAGTTTCTCCTTTCTTTATTTCTGAAGCATTCACTTGACCTTCCATCAGTAAGACTGACTTTATTCTAATCTGTTCCTGGAGATATTAATGGAATACAGTCATGTCCACTCAAGAGGAGAAGCAGATCAATACTGAATATGCTGTGTCCTTGTTGGAGCAGTTAAAATTGTTTTATGAACAGCAGTTGTTTACTGACATAGTGTTAATTGTTGAGGGCACTGAATTCCCTTGTCATAAGATGGTTCTTGCAACATGTAGCTCTTATTTTAGGTAAGTACTTTTAATCTTGGTTAGTTTGTAATTTCAAGTGCAGAATGTTAGCTTGTTTTAACCTTTGGATAGAAATTATTTTAAACACTATTTAAAGTTTAAAAAATTAGATGTCTTAATGTTTTGCCTAACTCCTCTATTTGGGTGATAAAGTGCTTGCCAGTCACCTCCTTGTGTGTGTAAATAAGGGACAGGCAAGGGAAGTTTTTACAAAAATTAAATAAAAGAAATTTGAAATTAAGGTTAAGTTTAATGATGCGGAAGCAAAAAGGTTCAGAATACAGTACTGTTTTTTTCATTGAAAGAGAAACGAAAATGAATGGTGTAATTTTCACTTACTCATAAGATTTTAAAATGTTAAATTTAGAAAATGGTCTTTGTTTATAAATTTAAGAGTTACCGTATACTTAATAATAACTTCTAGAAGATAATTGGTAGTGTTTAGATGTGTTAAGGACTTTTTTTCCTTTGAAAAAATGAATTTTTTGCTCACTGTTGGTTACTTTTATCATTTGTGATATCTTTTTAACTTTACCAGACTCCTTCCCAGATTGAAATAGTTAATAACTGATAATGTTGTTCTCTGTGCCTCGGAATTTAGAAGTTGACTTAATTGTTTGCTAATTATAAATAAAACTTTACATTTTTATGATCTTTTACAACTTTTCATCTTTTTAAGGTAGGTTTTCCTTTGTTATGTATTTCACGGGAGGAATAGAATTAAGGCATAGAAATTCCTTTGGTCACTGCCCTTAGGTTGAATTTGTACTTAATATTTGAAAGGGACAGAGTGAATAAAGATGAATTAAATGTGCACTGGTATATTTGTACAACAAATCTTAGCTGGCTTAAGTGGCTGTCATCAATGAAAGTTACTTTCTGATGCTTTTTAGTGGCAGTTATAGACAGGATAGGTATAATCTTAACTTTTCAAGGCTAACATAGAGGAAGGTGTAGAAACTTCACATTCCTCGGTATAACACATCTCACGATGATTATAGAAGCTTATGCCCAGATTGCCTTGTCAGTTGCTTTACTGTGCCTGCCATTTTTTCAGGTTTAGCTGTGGATATTTCATAGTTTCAGACATTGAAATTATTTTTATCTTCGAAAACTTAGCATATTTGTAAACAGTAATTGTAGAAAACCTAATGGACCTAGAGAGGATCCTCAGAATCCTCTCTTGTTTCTACAGATAAAGATTCTTGGATTTCAAACCCAGAAGTAACGATTCTTCTGGGTCTAACTCAGTGGGTCTGAGTTAGAGTTTCAGGATTTGTATATTTTAAGAGCTTCCCAGATGATTGTGATTGTCAGGATTGTTTTTGTCTTTTCATCTCCGTTGGCTTAGTAGATACTGTCAGGAATTCAGAGTTACAGATTCAGTCAAACCTAGGTCCATTAATTCTCCCTTTTTAATGGTTTTTAACTACGAATTGATTATTCTTTATTGGAAAGCTTTATGACTTGTGGATTTTCAGATTGGTATTTGTAATCATAGAATCTTTTGTGGTTATTACCCTAGTAGCTATCTTGTGTAACTTTTAAACCTATGCAGAAATTCTATTTGCTTAATTGTCATCTTGATAAGGAAGGTAACACATGCGATAACAGGTTAGGTGTCTTACCTTTTTTTCTTCCTTGTTAACTTTATTTTTTATTGTATAGATAACACGCTCTTCTCTAAATTCTCTAGCCATGAGGTTATTCTTTATCTTTTAACTAATTGGGTTGGAATTGGCTTCCTGGAAGACTAAATAAAAAATCTAAGTATTTCATTAGTATCACAATTTTAAAAGCAACACAATCTCTTTAAGGCTGCTGTTATTAATTTATCACTAGTTAGTTCCCTTCTTTAGCATCTTTGGTGTTCTAAGCAAATCACATTTGCTAAATGTGATTTCCTAAAGCACATCAGATAATAGGGATTTGAAATAACAGTAGAAAGAATAGTTCTGCCCATGTCTGGGATTAAACCCATCCATCTTTACAATCCTGTGTCTGGGCCAATTTCATAATCCACAAGATCAAAACACATACATTAATTTTTCCTCCCATATATATCTTTTCTCAGGATTGGATAGATAATTATTATTGTATATTCCCACAATAATAACTTGATCTTTTCCCAGGTTTCTTCAACTGGATTCTGCTTTCAAGTTTGTAGATTTCAGTATCCTTACATATATCACTATCAATTTAACCATTAGAAATTTACTATGAGAAATTTTGTCCTTTGAACTAGGTACCTTCTTTTGTAGTTTACCAGTTCCATTCCAAGAATCAAAAAAAACTTCTAAAATCCCAAGAACCTCTGAGGTAATAGTTTCTACTTCTTAGTAACATATACAGTGGACCCCAAGTGAAAGGGATTACTTGAGAATTACTCAGCACCTCTCTCACCATGGTAATTCAGCCTGCTATAATATTGTGCAATTCAGTATTTATTCTTTCTTTAAAAAGCCTGTTTCAGATTTTTATGATCAAGTTGGCTGAGCTTCCCCTAGTGTCTCGTCTTTGGGAAGCATAGATCCTTCACAGAAGTCCTTTATTCTGGTATCTGAAACCATAGCCTGGAATAACCAGTCGGTGTCATCTGTATAGTCCAGCTGTTCTCTTACCCTACTTCCTCTTCCAAAGTTAACTACTTTCTATTGGAACAGGTAAAAAGCACATGACCCCTAATCTTCCATTTTTACTCAGATCTCTTGTAATTCTTTTTCAGGTTGCTTTTGGTTATCTCCCATGTGAGAGAAGTGACTTGTGAAACAAGTGACACCAGTAGTCTTAGGTGTTTTTATTAGAGTTTTCTTGTTACATCTTGGATATTTTTTGAGAATAATTCCTGTTCTCCTTTACTTTGATTAGGTTTATTTATGGCCATTCTGTATTCTTTGGGAGGCAGTTTTTGATTGATATTTTTGCCACTTTTCCATTCCCTAACTGCCTCAAGTTAGTTGCTGTTGTTACTGCTCTTTGTGAGCTACACCAGAAATCACCAGTGCTTTTCTAATTGCTCTTGCTATGTTTGTTACCCTTGACACTCTAGTTTTTGACACCCTACTTCTCTTGCCCAGAGTAGCATTATACTGACTGGCTTGTTCTTATTTCTTTGATTAATGTTTCTCAACCTTTTGTCATTCTTACTTTTTCTTCTAATAGCACTCTACCTCAGGTTGGTCATTGGGAATCTGGGTGGGTTTTTCTTTTAGTTTTTTAGTCTCTCTCATGTAACTTACTTGGCTTTAACACATGACATTTTTTTGATAATTCACAGTCTGTTGCATTAATGCCTGACCTTCTTCATAGTTTCAGTAATATTAAATACTTAACTGATTATTATATTATTTCTGTTTGACTCAGCTGCCTACACCTTCAATTAAACATATCTAAAATTTAACTCACCTTTTTTACAAGATTAACTTTTTTCCTCCATCTTAAAATTTTCCTCTCAATGGTTAACAATATATTTTTTCATTTACTTGAAAATAAAGAGCTAGCTTTGATTCTTTTCCTAAGAAAGGAGCGGCAAAGAACGAGATGGTTAGATAGCATCACCTCCTCAATGAACATGAATTGGAGCAAATTCTGGGAGATAGTTGAGGACAGAGGAGCCTGGCATGCTGCAGTCCACAGGGTCGCAGAGTCAGACACAACTTGGCAACTAAAAAACAACAATCTGCTTCCTACTCCTACTGCCAGTGTTCAGAAAATCACCTGATCTTGTTTGGTTTTTTGTAAAAGCTTTTGTATCCATTTCTGCCATCCTCAGTCAGGTGGTTCTTACTTCTAACATAGATTTACAGTAGCCTAGAAAGCAGTTTTCTGGTCTGCAGCCTTTGGCTCTTGAGATCTGTCAGTACAGAGTACTCATTCTAGAATATGTTTTATTCTAGTGAATCCATGCTCAGAACCCTTCAGCATTCTTCATTATCTACAAGGAAGTTCAGTAAAAAGTTTTGGCTCTGCTGTTGGGCTTGCATGATCTTACCCCTGACGCAGGATTGAACCCAGGACCAAGCAGTGAAAGCACTGGGTCCTAACCATTGAACTGCCAGGGAATTCCCTCTTGGGTCTCATTTTAAAAGCCTTCTGTGATCTAAATGCCTGAACCTCTTAGGTTCAGCTGTACCCCTCCAAAAAAGTTCTTTTGTTCTACCCTGACTCACTACTTCATCCACTTTAAAGCATTTCTCATCTTGTCCTCGAGGTGCCCAGGCTGTTTGTTGTGATACCTCACTTTAGATCTCTATAGGCTTTTCTATACATACAGTAATACTGTTTGCATTTTTTTTCATCTCTCCCCTATATGTGGACATTTTAGTTTGTATTCTTCATAACATAATTGCCTTTACAGCATATTTTCTTGCATGTAGTAAATTTTTAGGAAACTGTCCTGTATATTTTTAGGATATTATTTGAGTAAATTGAAATTTTAACAGCTTTGTTGAGAGCTAATTTACATACAATTAAGTATTTCAGTATATTTAAAGAGCTGTACAACCATCTCTACAATCTAATTTGAAATATTTCCATCACTTTATGCCCACTTATAGTCAGTCACTCACCTTTCTTACCCATGGCCCTAGGTAACTACTAATCTAATCCCCCTTCTGCCTCTGTATATTTGCTTTTGGGGGATATTTCATATAAATGGAATCATATAGTATGTGGATTTTTGGATCTGCCTTTCACTGACAATACTGATCTTAAGGTTTGTCTGTGAACATATTAAAGAGTTCCTTTTATTGCTAAATTCCATTGTGTGACTATAAGGAGTAAATTAATTTTGATATTATCATTCAGAATGGCATAGTGGGAATAGTTTGGTATAGCCTTGGCACTGGATTATACTTTTCTGTTGCCTCCCTCAAAAGTTTTTCCCTGTAAGTTGTCCATCAGCAAATACCCTAAATAAACATTGTATGTGGTCTAGTTTTGGTGGTGTTTTTTAGCTCTACTTTTGTTTCCACCTCCCTCCCTTACTGTAGGGCCATGTTCATGAGTGGACTAAGTGAAAGCAAACAGACACACATACACCTGAGGAATGTGGATTCAGCCACCTTACAGATAATAATAACCTATACATACACGGGTAACTTGGCAATAAATGACAGCACTGTAGAACAGCTTTATGAAACAGCTTGCTTCTTGCAGGTAAGCAGTTTTTTCTCTCAGTTGTATGTGTTAACTGTGGTTTATTTTTCTTAAGAAACATTGTTTCATCAGTGATGTCTTACAGCTATGTAATTTTATTGCAGATTTTAGAATGTAAAGTTTTTCTTCTCTTTTTAAAAGGTGTAAAAGAAAAACAATAGAATTTGATCGTCTAGTAAACTTAGTTTTATGATGGGAACTTTACTGAAAAGATAGGTGAAAATTTCATATTATTTTCATATTCTGCCTAGTATACCACAGAATTTAGATCTTAAGTAAAAAGTTTTTAACAGTGTTACTAAATTTAAATACTTTTGTGTTTTGGCTAAAAGCTTAGATATGCTAATTTTTGATGGTATTTTATGGAAAATGTCAAGGTTGTTAAGTTATCGTACAAATATTTGTAATAGCATGAGAACACACTGAGCTATTAAGAATTAAACTAAAATAAAAAGTGATGATATATTTACATATGATAGACTGTTTCACTCTGTTTCCCCTTCAACATTTTTATTATTTATTTTTGGCCATGCCATGTGGCTTGTAGAATCTTAGTTCCTGAACCAGGGATGGAACCTGTGCTCCCTGCAGTGTGAGCAGAGTCTTATCAGTGGACCAGCAGGGACTCCCACCCTTCAGCATTTCTTTTAAATTTTAAGAGGCATGTAAAAATATTTTCCAGGACTTCTGATGGTCCATTGGTTAAGAATCCACACTTCCACTGCAGGGGATATAGGTTTGATCCCTGGCCGGGAAACTAAGATCCCACATGCTGTATGATGTGACTAAATAAATAAGTATATTTTTCTCATTTCCTTTCCTATTTGGAATAATTCTTTGTATTTTCAGAAATAAGTTTCTTCAAAGGGAGAATCATCAAACTGAAGGTTAAATTTTGGTAGCATAGTTCATGATATCTAGTGGGTACTGGATAAATGCTTGGTGAATAAACATCAGTGATATTGGTTGAGCACCAGTTTAAGTAGCTTTCCTCCTTTTTAGTTTGTACTCTTCTCCCCGCCTCCCAATTGTGCAGTGTCCTACTGTACCTGTAATTCTGGGGAAACTGAAGCCCATGGTAGCTTCCTGGTGCTTTACAATGGAAGACATTGAGATCCTGAATCCAAACCTAAAAGGGAGAAATGCCTACTGTAAGCACTGCCTTCTATAATTTAAATGATTTCATTACTTTTTTTAAAAGCCAAGAACTAAAAGCTGGTATTTTTAGAATTGCTAAATAATTGAGGAATTTTAAGAAATTTGGGTTTCAGAACACTGTTACTGTAAATAATGACCTCTTTCCTTTTTTTTTTTTTTAATCATGTTAATAAAACCCTTAGGCATATGCTTACCCAAATGCAAACCCAGACTCTGCCTCCAGGACTAAGGTTGCCCTGGCAAGTCTGGGATGGGGCATTTTATGACTGCCAACATGGCTTTCACTATTAACTGCATGAGATGTTTTTATATGCCAGATACTGTACTGATGCTATATATCAGTTCTCATCTAATCCTAAAATAATCAATCACTTAAAGGATTTCCCCATGTTATGCAGGAGAAAGCTGAGGCTTAGAGAAGAAAGCTACTTGTCTGATATTATACAAGTGTTGACTGGCCTATCCAAGTTTTGAATCCAAGCAACGTGACTTCTTATCACAAACTATTTCTGGTTAATCACTGTGATCTGGAATAAATATAGTAGGTAGCACATGTAACTCAACTGAGATCTGTTTTGCCTTGAGAAAAAACAAATCTAGGAAACTTTTGAGTGGCTAAGATGGTTGTTAAATATAGATTATTTATAACTGCACTTGACTGTTTTCTTTTGATTGGTTATCCTAGTGCACCAGGTAAGAAAGGCAAATAACCATCGTTAGGCATTGTGTATTTCTGCTTTTTTATGAGTATCTTATACATGTTGACAAAACCAGATTCTCACTTCTCAACAATAATCATTTCCTATACCAATTTACATTCTTATTTGGTTTTTTCAGTTACATATTTTTTAAAGCCTAAAAGTATTTAACTTATGCATGAATTTCCTTACCTTTAGGCTGTTTAGGTTTTTAAGAGCCGTTTATTGGGGGGTCTTGTTTTTGTGCAGCATGTGGGATATGGGATTTTAGTCCCCAACCAGGGATCGAACCCGCACCCCCTGCAGTGGAAGCTCAGACTCTTAAACACTGGGGAAGCCCCCAAGAGCCTATCTAATGTTACACTACTGACTCCTAAATTAGGGCAGTTAAGTAGGCCACTAGACAGGAAGAAAAATGCAAAACAATACATAGTGAAAATCGCTTAGTTGTGTCCGACCCTTTGTGACCCCATGAACTGTAGCCTGCCAGGCTCCTCTGTCCATGGAATTCTCCAGGCCAGAATACTAGAGTGGGTAACCATTCCTTTCTCCAACCAAGAGATCGAACCCAGGTCTCCCGCGTTGCAGACAAATTCTTTACCATCTGAGCCACCAGGAAAGCCCCTGCACAGTCTTCTAGTTTTTTATTACTGGAAGACACTATCTCTCAGCCCAAACATGTGTACCTAAAAATAAAACTACAGTATAAGGATCTGATTAATACACTTGTCTGTTACATAACAAATGTTCAGCTTGCCTTTATCAGCCTTGTTTTTCCCCCATTTTTAGGTAGAAGATGTGTTACAACGTTGTCGAGAATATTTAATTAAAAAAATAAATGCAGAGAATTGTGTGCGATTATTGAGTTTTGCTGATCTGTTCAGCTGTGAGGAATTAAAACAAAGTGCTAAAAGGATGGTGGAGCACAAGTTCACGGCTGTGTATCATCAGGAAGCTTTCATGCAGCTGTCACATGATCTACTGATAGACATTCTCAGTAGTGACAATTTAAATGTAGAAAAGGAGGAGACAGTTCGTGAAGCTGCTATGCTATGGCTGGAGTACAACACAGAATCACGATCCCAGTATTTGTCTTCAGTTCTCAGCCAGATCAGAATTGATGCACTTTCAGAAGTAACACAGAGAGCTTGGTTTCAAGGTCTGCCACCCAATGATAAGTCAGTTGTTGTTCAAGGCCTGTATAAGTCCATGCCCAAGTTTTTCAAACCAAGACTTGGAATGACTAAAGAGGAGATGATGATTTTCATTGAAGCATCTTCAGAAAATCCTTGTAGTCTTTACTCTTCAGTCTGTTACAGTCCCCAAGCAGAAAAAGTTTACAAGCTATGCAGCCCACCAGCTGATTTACATAAGGTTGGGACCGTTGTAACACCTGATAATGACATCTATATAGCAGGTGGTCAAGTTCCTCTGAAAAACACAAAAACAAATCACAGTAAAACAAGCAAACTTCAGACTGCCTTTAGAACTGTGAATTGCTTTTATTGGTTTGATGCACAGCAAAATACCTGGTTTCCAAAGACCCCGATGCTCTTTGTCCGCGTAAAGCCATCTTTGGTTTGCTGTGAAGGCTATATCTATGCAATCGGAGGAGATAGTGTGGGTGGAGAACTTAATCGGAGGACTGTAGAAAGATACGACACTGAGAAGGATGAATGGACAATGGTAAGCCCTTTGCCTTGTGCTTGGCAGTGGAGTGCAGCAGTTGTAGTTCATGACTGCATTTATGTGATGACCCTGAACCTCATGTATTGTTATTTTCCAAGGTCTGATTCATGGGTAGAAATGGCCATGAGACAGACGAGCAGGTCTTTTGCTTCAGCTGCAGCTTTCGGTGATAAAATTTTCTATATTGGAGGGTTGCACATTGCTACCAATTCTGGCATAAGACTCCCCTCTGGCACTGTAGATGGGTCTTCAGTAACTGTGGAAGTCTATGATGTGAATAAAAATGAGTGGAAAATGGCAGCCAACATCCCTGCGAAGAGGTACTCAGATCCCTGTGTGAGAGCTGTTGTAATCTCAAATTCTCTGTGTGTGTTTATGCGAGAAACCCACTTAAATGAGAGAGCTAAATACGTCACTTACCAATACGATCTGGAACTTGACCGGTGGTCTCTGCGACAACATATATCTGAACGTGTACTCTGGGACCTAGGGAGAGATTTTCGATGCACTGTGGGGAAACTGTATCCATCCTGCCTTGAAGAATCTCCATGGAAACCACCAACGTACCTTTTTTCACCGGATGGAACAGAGGAGTTTGAAATGGATGGAGAGATGGTTGCACTACCGCCTGTATAGTCAGGAGTTCAGGGAGTGCACGCTTCATCTGTTTGCTTTGTCATTTTCTTTGCTTAATGAGAGACTATGAAAGGACTGACTATGAGTACATAAAAAAAAATCTATCTTTGATAAATTTTATTTTTATGCCCTACTTAATATTTGCATCAGTATAATATATATCAGTGAGTCTTAAAGATATGCTTCCATAATGAAATAGATTATCCAATAATTGAGAAACTTTTATGTGTATCATGAGAGCATAACAATCTGAATTATCTAACATTGTTAGCCCTGTGTATGTACAGTTCCAGAAGTTCACTTATTAGTTTCCTGTTCCTAGTGTGGTATATCGCAAATTGTGCTGAGGTTATTTTAGTATATGTATTTCATTCCCGTGCTTCTGTTTTGAAGTCCTGGAATATAGTTTTTTTTCAGTGTAGTTAACTGAGCTGCACTTAACACTAGTGTCCATGTTGGCATAGAAATGTTGTCTAAATCCTATAGTTGAGGAAGATCTTCCATTTTATGGTATTGCACAGGGAAAGTATGACTGCAGGATCAGTCTAACTATATACTATTAGGTGCATGTACTCTCTTTTCACTAACTTATACTTGTCTATCTAGAATACAGGTCTTCCAATCAGCTGGTCATTTACCAGGTGTGGACTTAAGTTGCTGGGCTTGCAATAAGAATTGCTAGTCCCTCATTGTGCGGGTCTGTGTGGAGCTTTAATCAGTAAATGCCTCCACTTTCTGTATTACATTAACATTGGCTCATGCATATTACTACCTGCTGCTGTTGTATTTCTCCATCTTAAAGATTTAGAGTGGGTTAACCAGGTCATTACATCTTAATTTAATAAGCATTACTGTAGAGTGATTGTGTATAGATATTTGTTAGCTGTCAGGGTGTGTTTTTTTTAACCTGTTGTGTGTGGGGGGGTAGGATTAGAAAGGTGAACTGTTCAGGAATTCTCTGCACTAGCAGTGCAGAAGAGCAGATAACTAGTGCTGCTCTGGCATTAATCCCAGGAACCACTAGCAGTAGCGGGCTGCCGCCAATCTAACATGAGCACAGGTGCTTCATGACAAACATTACTAGCATGTTCAACTGCATAATGTTCTGGCACTGTATTTTGAATGACATTAATTTATTAAATAAATTGTATATATTCAAAATTGTTTTTCTTTTGTGATGTGAATGGTGTGATTGTAGTTTTATGGGATCAGCTTAGTTTGTTACAGGTGTTTTCTTCAGAATTTTGTTTGAGATTATATGTATATTTGTCCGATTTGAGCCTTACTGTAGCAACATAAATTACAGCTCAATGACTGCCTTCAACCGTAGTTGCCTATTAGAATCATCTCTGGGTACTTTTGAAAAAACTTGGGATGATGCCTAAACCTCGTCCCAAACAAAGGAAACCACAGTCTGTACACTCTTCAAAGCAATAGTCTTTTGGAACCCCATTGGTTTAGGCCTTAAATATAAAGGTTTGATTCTAGATTACCTAGATTTGATTCTGGTCTTCCTAGAGTAATAATTGATTATGTTTACAAACCTTAACTGCTGCCCACTCCTTATTGAGTGAAGTCCAAATTAGGTCTGTTTTAAAATTATAGAAAATCAAAGAAAAAATCCTGAGAGAAGCCAGGTGAGAAAAAATACCTATACACAGTTATTACATTCAGCTTCTCTTCAGGCAAGAAAATGGAATAAAATATTTAAAGTGTTAAGAGTAAAAGTCTAGCAACATAGAATTCTGTGTCCTGCAAAATTATCCTAAAGTGAAGGAAAAATAAAGATTTCTTGGCAGTTCTCCAAACTTCTTTGCCTTACTGTCACTTTTATAACTTGTGGCAAACTCTGACTAGTTTTTGCCACTGTTACCCCACTGAAACTTGAATTTTTTTTTAAGTCCAGAGGATACTTTGCTTATTTTACATTGAAACATGAGGGTATTTTACACTGTTGAACACTTTATGAGACTCTAAACTGCATTTGTCACATTATGCTCCTCTGGTTTTCTCCCCCCACCTACCCCCCCCAGAGCCTTTTTCTCAGACCCTTGCTGATTTCACCTCTAACCATATCTTACATATGCCCTAAACAAAACTCTTCACTTCAATGACTTCTGCTGATTGTCTTCAGCCCAGATCTTCACCTGAGCCAAACTTGGATACAGTTTTAACTGGAGCTGCTATAACAAAGTACCATAGATTAGGCTGCTTATAAAGCAGAAATTTCTTACAGTTCTGGAGGCTGGAAGTTCAAGGTCAGGGTGCCAGCATGGTTAGATTCTGACAAATTCCTCTTCTGACTTGCAGACTACCAACTTTGTATCCTCCTGTGGCAGAAAGATTCAGTAATCTCTTGGGCCACTTCTTTTAAGGGCACTAGTCAGATTCACGAGGGTTCCACCCTCGTGATGTAATTCTCAGGGGCCTCACCTCCCAACACCCAGTTGGGATTAAGAGTTTCAACAAATTTTGGAAGGACACAAACAGTCCATAACTTGAGTGTTTTCAAAGTTATCTCAAATTCATTTTTATTTCTCCACCCACACCCTCATTCTGGTTATGTCAGTAAATGGCACCATCATCCATCCTGTTGCTTAAGCCAGAATCTTGGATGTTAACTGACTTTTTCTTCTCCCTCACCTCCATATCCTGTCAGTCACAAGGCCTTACAGGTTCTCCTAAATATCTCTTGAATTCATCCTTACTTCCAATACATTAATCGAGCTGTTTTCATCTCTCACCTGGAGGGGAAAAGCTTTATCAAGCTGTAAGGTACAGCACTCAATTCTGTGGCCTTTGTGTAGAACATTTCATGACCCCCAAAACCCATACCCACCCTCCCTTCCCCTCCAAATGATTTCTAAGGATACCTTCTTTGCTCACACTTTCTCCACAGTGCAATAGTTTTCATTTAATTTTGCTTAGAACATTCATTGTCCTTAGAATAAAGCTCAAGTTCCTTTCCAATTTACAAGACCTTTATATTTTGGTCTTTGCTTTTCTGACCTAATTTTCCTCACAGTTTATAGTTCACTAAATTTAAGATTTTTCGTTATCTTAATGGGCCTTGTCTTCTTTCACAGTTTTTTCTGCCTCAAACACTTCTCATTTGACTGGTTAGATTTAAGGTGATTATATATCCCAGTTTATGCATGTTTTCCCTTTTCACTTTGAAAATTGTCCCTGTTTGGATAGTAAATGATACGGTAACCCTGGTTGAATTCAATTTACCATTCAGATAACTTCCTCCAAGTGACATTTTTGTTTTCCTTCAGCTGTGCCATGGGACATGTGGGATTTTAGTTCCTGGACCAGGGGTAGAACCCATGCCCCTTGCATTGCAGTCTTAACCCCTGGACCTCCAGGGACATGTCCCCTCCAAGCGGCTTTTAAAAAAATTCTAACATAGTTCCCTTTGTTTAAATCTCAAATTTTACTCTCTTGCCTAACACTCATTAAACTATCTTAATGTCTTCACCACAGCTGAGAGGGCAAGGGCTGTGTCTACCCTATTTATTTCTGTATCCTTAATGCATAATAATGCCTGGCACATAGCAGGCACACAGTAAAATCTATATAAAGGCATTCATAGGTCACAAGGGGGATCTATGGGAGTAGATAATTCAGATCACTATTTCAGAATTGTAGTAATCAGTAATGGACAATCTCTGACACTATGGAAAAAGGATTTGTCAATAAATTAACATCAAATGAACCGACATTAAAAACACAAACTTTGCAAAAAGAACAAACACCACAAACTTTCCAACAATTTTGATTTGACCAAGTGGGATTTATCTTAGGAATGAAAGGTTGGTTAAACATCTGAAAATCATATAACATGTGAACAGGATAAAAGAGAAAAGTCATATAATCATTTCAATAGAAAAGTTATTTGACAAAATCTAAGGACCGTTTGTGATAAATTTTTTAAAAAGCTATTAGAACTAACAATTTAGCAAGTTTACAGGGTACAAGAACAATATATATGTCAGCCTTGTTTTATGTATCAAAATTCAAAGTAAGACAAATGACAAAATATGAAAAATGTTCACAAGTGCTAGTATCTCTAATATCTTTAAAGAGTTTTTAAAAATAAAAAGACCAAGTACTCTGTAAGAAATTGAGCTTGTGAGGTGAATAATAAACTTAATATATACTGATCTTATTCATACTACGAGAAACAGAGACAATAAAACCAACACTGGGATACTATTTCTCGTGTATTAAGTAGGCAAAAATCCAAACTTGGACATACTGTTGGTCAAGAAACAGGTATGCTTACATATTCCTGATATTCCTACAAATTATGGTAGTTGTGGGAGAGATGACAGTACTACTAATCTTGATCACAATCCTAAATCTAGGGATCTCTTCCAAAGGAAAAAAACATTTTTTAAATATATGCACAAGACTGTTATTCCTTACAATAGCGTTTATAATAGCAAAAAGACCAGAAACAACTCCAAATCCATCAGCAACTGGTTAAATCAGGAATGGTTAAACAACGTCAGATCCACCATAGATCTCCAGAACATATTACTAAGCTCAAAAAAGTGTAGAAAATTGTGTGTATACAGTAAAATTACATTATTTACAAAATTTGTTATGTGTTTAAAAAAGATAAATATAAACATTTTAAATGGTTAACTAGAAGGAAAGGAACAGGATGAGGGATCAAAATAAAAGTCTTTGAGTGTAACTTGTTTTGTAAATTTGACTTTGGAATTATGTAAATATTTTACATAATTATAAAACAAAGATATTAAGATGAATCTAAAGAAACTAAATTAGTATACTGGGGTGGAATAACCCCAAAAAGGAACTTTTAATCAACTTAAAACAGTAATTTGTACATCTCTAGTGGAATAAACCCTAAGGAAAAAAATCTTTTTAACTTGTTTTAGTCATATTATTAGTGGTAGTGTTGGTATTAGTTTTCTCACCACTTTTATTCAAAATAATTTTGGAAGTCCTAGTCATGGCAATCCGAGAAGAAAAAAGCATCCAAATTGGAAAAGAAGTAAAACTTACTGTTTGCAGATGATATGATACTGTACACAGAAAATCCTAAAGAGGCCACCAGAAAACTACTAGGGCTCATCAATGAATTTGGTAAAGTTGCAAGTACAAAATTAATACATAGAAATCTGTTGTACTTCAAGACACTTAATGAAAGATCAGAAAGAGAAATTAAGGAAACAATCCCATTTACCATCACATCAAAAAGAATAAAATTCTTAGGAATAAACCTACCTAAGGAGGCAAAGGACTTTTACTTTGAAAACCATAAAGACACTTTATGATAAAAGAAGGTGACACAGATGGAAAGATATACCATGTTCTTGGATTGGAAGAATCAAATGATGAGTGTACTACCCAAGGTTATCTAGATTCGATGCAATCCCAGTCAAATTACCAATGGTGTTTTTCACAGAGCTAGAATAAAAAAATTTTAAATTTGTATGGAATCACAAAAGATCCTGAACACCCAAAGCAATCTTAGGAAAGAAAAACTGAGCTGGAGGAATCAAGCTCCCTGACTTCAGACTATGCTACAATATAGTATAGCTACAGTAATCAAAACAGTATGGTATTGGCACAAAAATAAATATAGTTCAATGTGATAGAAAGCCCAGAAATAAACTCATGCAGCTATAATCAATCTATGACAAAAGAGCAGGGGAAACAAGTCTCTTCAACAAGTGGTACAGGGAAAACTGGACAGCTCCATGTAAAAGAATGAAATTAGAACATTCTATAACACCATACACAAAAATAAACTCAAAATGGATTAAAGACCTACATGGAAGACCGAAAAATATCTAAAACTCTTAGAGAACATATGCAGAACATGCTTCAACATAAATTGTAGCGGTATCTTTTTGGATCCACCTTCTGAAAAAGTGAAAATGAAAGGCACTCAGTTGTGTCCGACTTTTTGCGATCCCATGGACGAAACAGTCTATGGAATTCTCCAGACCAGAATACTGGAGTGAGTAGCCTTTCCCTTCTCTAGGGGATCTTCCCAACCCAGGGATCAAATCCAGGTCTCCCGCATTGCAGGTGGATTCTTTACCAGCTGAGCCACCCCTTCTAATGAAAATAAAAACAAAAATAAACAAATGGGACCTATTTGAACTTAAGTTTTTGCATAG